CGGGCCGTTTTTAGCTAACTTTGCAGTAAAACTCTTTATAAAAATCATCGTGTCATGTATTCAAGTGATTTAATGGTGTTAAAGTACGCGTTAGCTCCTCACCCTTTGAGTCGTCTTAACCAGAGTCGGTAAAAGGACTTCCTTTTTTTGTGCTAAACTACTTTACCTCACTAACTGGGACCCTTACTACTGAACATATACATTATGCATTATGCATTATTATGTTCCTTGATAAAAGACAAATGTTTCTTCTGGTACCTGTTCCGAAAATTAAAAAAACATATTCATAAGATGTATGTTAACTTACTGTTGCTCCGAGAATGCCTCTTACATTGTTCTGCTAACATTACTTTAAAAATAAAAGTGTACACACTAGTTTTTATGTATGTATTATTACATATTGCGCATAATGCGACTAATCGCTGTTAATCGCAGAACAATTATGCAATTAATCAAGTTATATTTTTTGATTTTTGTTACATTTGCCCCAACTAAATTTTATTTTTCATATTCCGACAGGAGTAGAAACTGTGTCCGCTCTGAATTCCTTTTCTATTTTTTAGGTAGCTTTGATCGATTTTAGGGGTTTATACTCTCTAAATGATCCTTTTTACTTTTCTTCAGTCATCAGTCCACACTGCCTCTCACGGGCACGAAAACACAAGCCCGGCTGAAACGTATACAATGCAGAGTGGACAAGGAGGGATAGCAGAAAGCTGACACTGTGGCAGGATTAGGAAGATGATAATATGAGTGGGGAATCTATTTTCTTTAAATAGATATCTCTCTGGGCCCTGACGATGGATCAAAGTTTGCAACATATTACAGATACAGTACAGTGGGAATGTATTGCTTTTGTGCAATGTTGCGTAGTCCTTTAAAAGCACTTGCGTGAGGTTGGCTTGGGGGCACTGCCTGCGTATCTTTGAAAGGAAAAGCCTTTGTTTGTTTCGGAACAAAGAAAGACCATTTGGTTTTATGACTTAAATATTTTCCATCAGAATCATGAGCAAAGCACTTGTGGTGCACGAGTCGTATTATTCTTTACATCTCACAGGCAGCACAGAGCCGCCCCTTGATGTGTGGGGTGATTAGGTGCTCTGACGCCACCATGAGACACAGCACAAGTGAGCAGAGCGAGGAGCTGACCAGCAGAGAACGCAGGTGTTTCCTTTATGTAGCATTCATTGTGCTTGAACTAGCAGATCCCCCAATCCTGTCTGCCACCACTGGAAAAAAGATGAGCAATGTGCTTCTCTAACGTCCGTGCTCTTAATTGTGGTCCATTTAAAATGTCCATCCATCCATCCATCTTCAACCGCTTATCCGGGGTCGGGTCGCGGGGGCAGCAGCTCCAGCAGGGGACCCCAAACTTCCCTTTCCCGGGCCACATCTACCAGCTCTGACTGGGGGATCCCAAGGCGTTCCCAGGCCAGTGCAGAGATATAATCTCTCCACCTAGTCCTGGGTCTTCCCCGGGGCCTCTTCCCAGCTGGCCGTGCCTGAAACACCTCCCTAGGGAGGCGCCCAGGGGGCATCCTCACCAGATGCCCAAACCACCTCAACTGGCTCCTTTCGACGCAAAGGAGCAGCGGCTCTACTCCGAGCTCTTCGCGAATGGCTGAGCTTCTCACACTATCCCTAAGGGGCATGCCAGCCACTCTCCTAAGGAAACCCATTTCGGCCGCTTGTACCCGTGACCTAGTTCTTTCGGTCATGACCCATCCTTCATGACCATAGGTGAGGGTAGGAACGAAGATTGACCGGTAGATCGAGAGCTTTGCCTTCCGGCTCAGCTCTCTTTTCGTCACAACGGTGCGGTAAAGCGAGTGCAATACCGCCCCCGCTGCTCCGATTCTCATTGTCATTTAAAATGTATGATTACTTAATGCCACAGGATTTCCTAATCGTTACAATTATCTATGGATGTTGTCTATCACTTGAAGTGGAAGAATAAGGAACTGAATGTTGTGTTTTTTGGATTAGTATTACCATTGCTGATGTGTTTGGCAGCTTGCACAAATATAAAGGCTGCCGGATCAGCAGTGTTCTTGCAACGCATCTTTGTTCTCTCTGAGCTAAACTCCATTAGAAAATGCTCATCACGTTAAATTAAGTCAATTCAAATTCTTATCTTGCTAGTCTGACGCTTCCAAACAGCACACCATACGATAATTGTGTGCTTGTGTGTTTGTGTGTGTGTGTCTGAGCAAGTGTGTGTGCACATACAAAGAATAGCGTTTTCTTTTTTAAACTTTCGACTTGTAGTAGTCATACAATAATGATGTAGTAGAGGATTTAAAAAACATGCGCGAATTATGTTGTCTGTCATTTTCTCAAGTAAATTTCCAGTCCCTGCTAATTTATTTTTATTCTGTCATGAAAAGAATGGAAAATATTGGCTGCCCATGTGGGTGAGAGAATCTATTAGGTGAGCAACACATTAGTCACAGATCATCCTCATGGTGATTGAAATACAAGGATTTTGCACGTTTGTTTGTTCTTGAGTTTAAAGGGAGTCGCACATTGAGTTGTTTTTGATTTGAGGAAGGATGTGAGATGGTTGGTACAAAGCAAAAAAACAGCTGACCGTCTTCCAATAATCCTGAATATCCTGTAGCAGGAATTACTGCACTTCATAGCGTATGTTCGGTCGACATCTCATCCGTTCCAAGCGCTGTTCTGACAGATCATCCCTTGTGCCCACTCCACGGCCGAATAGTTTTAAGGAAAATAGAGATTGTGAAAGCGAGACCGTCAAATCGACAGGAAAAAGTCAATACAGAGATGGAGTGACATGTATGCTTGCATTGCTATGTAAATGTGCCAGAGACCCACTCATTCACACATTGGGCTGTCCTAAAAGCGAAGAGGGGAGAATACACACAATCACGAACAGCATTCTGACTGTTTAAACAACTATTTGAGGACCATGTTGTCTCACCTGCAGTTGAATACACGCAGCAACTAATGCACACGTATAGACACACTGGTGGGTGGCGTTAACGCAATCTCATCTTGTCGCAGGATTGATCAACCTGTACAAACTCGTGGCCCACAGATGAAGAGATCAGCAGCGGGTGACAGTCAGACAAGGTGTGTGAACCCAAGAGCCATTGTTGAATCTACATTTGTCCACTCCATTAACTTCAATTCACAGCAGGCCAACCACGCGCCATCAATTTGGGAGGTGACGCCAGTGTGTGTCAATGAGGAAACTTTCCTTCTATGAGTTTGTGGATGGTGCTTCTGTGACGGTGAAGGCTGTGCCCGCCGCGTCAGCCGGGCTACATGGAATGTGTTATTTTAGGTGCAATAAAATTCAAATTCACAAGAGAACCTCTGCGCTGTTCTTGCCAACGCTGACGCATCTCTGCCTCACTATTGTGGATTCAGACACGCTGGCATACCGAGCACTTTTGGCAGGCTGGTGGAGTCTGTGCTTTGAAGTTGTTTGTTTTGAATTAAGAGATTTTCAGTGCAGCACTGCTAGGACAGTTGATCCACATACAAAAACCTTGGACAGAGCAGGGATGGAGGGTGTTTGGTGTATAAAATCCGGACATGCCCATCACCTCCGGTTTCAGCTCTCCATTTAACGATCAAAATAAATGGAGATGGAATGTATCCTGTGCGAAATCGTCTCTTTGAGGATTGATGATAATTATACATCATCACCCGTGATAGCATTTACCAGCATGGCCATTAGTTTCACTCGAAACGGAGACGGACATATTTGCTCAAACGTTAAACACTAAAGAGTCTCTTCTGGAAACCAAACCGTGACTCACCCTAACAACCCGCAACGAAACACTTTTCATGAATGATAAATAGATCAGTTATAAAGGGCAGTCACTTTAGACAATAAAGGCCTTTCCTAAAATCCGTTATAGCTATAAGCACTCATCACTATGGTGGGTCTCATCTCCACTGGAACAGCAATCGATCTGATGGCGGCAAGAAAAACCTGTTGTTTTGTTTTTCTCTGCCCCTGAGGCACCCACCAGAAACACACACACGCTAAACAGATGTTTTTTTCACAAGACAGACTAGATAAAAACAAACATAAACAAGCATCAATTGTTATATGATGACCCTCACAAAGCACGCCTCCATGTTTGTGTGAGCACAAGGCTTTCCTTTATGGTTTGAGTATCTCTCAAGCTGCTTTTTTTCGTCCATATGGACGACATAACAACAAAACAAAGGCGGAGGCTGCTTCTCACCCACAGCAAAGTGATACACCAGACTTGGTTTAATGCAGCGGTTTCTAAAGTGGGGTCTCGAGACCTCCAAGGGTCCCTGGGGGCTCCAGTAAAATGGACAGTTTCTCACTATCATTTCACCGCCCTCGATAACAGCACAACGGTATATGTATTACTGTAGTTTGTTGTCATTGGAGATTGTTGTCAGACATCCAGAGTAGACAGTTATTCTGCTGCACGGCCAATTAACGCCTAGAAAGAAAGAGGCTGTTCCGTGGGAGAAGAGATCCACTGTAGGAGTATAGTGTGTATTGTGTATCCACCTGCCAGATATTAAAACTTTGAGGAATTCTTCCATCTTATACGAGGTGCTAAAGGTCTCGAGTGTTCATATCGTGTGTTGCCGGGGGGGAGGATAACCCTGTGAACTGAAGTTTTATCCCTCACATCTAAATGTACTGACACACAGCAAATAATAACGCCTCAGCGGAGCGGGAGAGAGATGTCTGTGTGACCCGGGAACAACTCATCAACTGCAGTGCGGCATCAGCTGCATTAACAACACACAGATCGTCCCCGCGCGTCCCGACGCACGACGTGTTCGTTCTCATCCATCTCCTTCTGCCAGATAAAGTTGCGTTTGAAATGGCGCATCGTCCGTACAGGACGTGGTGCGTTGTGAATGTCATATGTCATATGAAAACATCGATGGCCGTAGAAAGTCGCTTATACCAGCGTTAGACGCGCACACATCACGCACAATCCGCCATTGGAAAAGTTCCATTTTATACTTACCCCTTTGGAACATGTTGTAGGCGTATGTGTGACTATGTCGTCTCCGGTCCTCTGACAATCATCGATTCTTGTATTCCAGAACCTAAAAAACTTGTGCGCTTCGTTTTTCGAAGTTGATCCGGACCTTCCTCGCGCGGCTCGTCGCGTAAATGTCAGTTGTCACTCCTCACGATGTGCACGCGATCCACTGCGTTGAATTGGCACCCCGGACTGCCGTGGATTTGATAAACATTGAGAACAGGCAATAATCTCCGTTCCCCTACAAAGTCCGGCAGACCGCAGTCGGATCTGGGCAATTAGGAGACAATCGTCGCGAATCCGACGCACTGAAATCATCCCCTCGGTCCGAAATAGCGGCAACTCCAGTGAGAGAGAGAGAGAGAGAGAGAGAGAGAGAGAGAGAGAGTGTGTGTGTGTGTGTGTGTGTGTGTGTGTGTGTGACGAGCACACACGCACAATAGTCCGATACAACCTTTGATAGCCGACTCCTCTCTTTTAGACGCAAATGACCGAAGAGGCTGCAAATCACTTCTGGGGGCCAGCCAACGGTGAGCACAAGCAGCCCCCTCCAACACCCCCAACACCCCCCCACAGATACTCAAGCAGCTGATCTCAAATTCTTCTCTCGGTGCTTCAGAGCATTTCAAATAGCAGCATATTCGTTAAAATCTGTAATTAACATACATTATTTGGATTCACAATCCGCCTCTGATGTCGGATTATGAACGCAGACGCATCAAATCCTCCTTAATGGTGCAGACTTTGATGCTTTCGGTCGCCTTAAAATCCCCTCTCTCTCCCTCTCTCTCTTTTTCTTCTTCTCCAGCTTGACTCGCGATTGTTACGTTTCTGGGATGTAGTGTGAGAGGATCTCTCGGCTTTCCACCTATGGATCAGAGCTCGTGGATGCGCTCAAGGAGGGATAGAGTATGCTGTACCGTCTCAGACCCTCCACTGGGCAACATCCCGCTCCATCCCTCTGTCACTGTCTCCTGTCTCCGTCTGCCCCAGGAGGACACGCGCGGCTCCCTGACACCCGAGGTCTTCATGTTGAATATGATGTGACACAACAACCAAATCCAAATCTACATGTGACAACATTATATTTACTTGTAGACCCATAGGCCAGGAATATAATCTGTCAAATTGCTTGATCTATCATAAAAAGAGCCTCCACCCAAATTAATAATGGTGGACTGAGGCTCCCCCCTCTTTTACAAAGATACGCATTATTAACGGATGTAATTATTGTAGTTTATTATAACTTTTAATTTAATTTGCATATAAATGTGGTGTTTTTAATTAAGATTAAATAATTCATTCATAAATAAGTTCCGATCCTACGCAAATGCCCTTGTTATATTCAATTAAATATGTAATATTTAAATGTAATATTTGTGTTTATCTTTTTTTCTTACTCTTGTTTTCTTCGCATGTAGCTTACTTGAAATGGTCGATCACCATTGCACTTGTTGTAAAGTAGGTATCCCGTAATACTGCCTTAGATAATGTATATTGGCAGTAAACCACACAAAATATTACTGGACATTGCAATATAACCCAAATAGCTACATTTAGTGTAATAAATTGTCCAAACCCTGCTGTCCCGTTCAGTTACATCGGTTTCATTGGTGCTCGACTTCTTTTCACTGACCTCCGCAATCGATTACTTCTGCCTTTGCCTTCCTCACATGTTTTATGTTTGCGAGTAAGAAACATGGCCGCGCCTGCTGCTGAAGTCCAGATTGTTCCTTCAAATAAGCCCACAGGTACAAACGCCGGATGTTTTATATGTATTTATTAGAGAAGAGAGGTAAATGAATAACTGCCATGATCTTTCTGCCTTCCACCCCGACGAGGAAACGTTACAACCGGCTGTTTCTGACACGCAGCAGTCTGGCTCTCACGTAAAAAATAACCTGACTAACCACCGCCTGACGTTTGGTGCACACGGCGCGTAGTTTCTACACACCTGCGTTCAGTGACATTCATTAACACACAGTTATCTTTCCTATGGCGTTCCGCGTTGTGACGTCTCACCTGACGTCATGACAGTGTTGAGTTGTGTATGTGTTTTTTTCTTCATTGTTACGATGAGGATCATAATTCTTGTCATTTCCGTGATTGGAGAAATACTTAAACCGAAAAGCTTAACGCTGAGCACAGCGAGGGGAACCAAACAGGCGCCGAATTATATTTTACATCTCGCCCCAGGGATTTTCTGTGTTTACTCGCCGCTTTGTCCACATTGTATATGTTCAACTCATTACGTACTTGCTAAAAGAGTTAAAGAGACGTTTTAAATACATAGTTTTATATGTTATATGACATAGTGTGTCATATACACATTTGTTTTCTCTTCTTCGTCAAACTGCGCTGCAGAGTTGTTCCACGTGACGTTTCTTTGCACAAAACAGACTCCAATAACAATGATGCTTTACCAACTTAATTATTATCATTTCAAAAGAAGGCTAACATGCTCGCTTCCTGTTTCAATACATAAACAACAAGCAACGTGTCAGACCAGCGTTTAATGTCCAATATATTTTTTAACCCTACACATATGAGACGGTTTGACAATTCATGAAATATGAATTGCTTTGTTATTAACTGCGACGACAACAGACAGGGTCACCTGTAATGCAGGTCAACGCAGATTGTGGTTATACCTTATACCCATATGATTATTGTTATTATTAATTTACATTACTAGTACTCATTCTATTATTATTCTATTATATCCACTGCAGATGCAGATTGTTATCATCAGTATTCAACCATTATAACCATTGTAACCATTATTATTTCTGCTGCTTCTGCTCGTGACTCTTTGCATGATATTCTCTGTTACGTATGATCGTTGGGCTTGATCCGGTGTTCGCAGCGCATTGCTAACAGCTAAATAATTTGTCTCTGTCTTCAGTCCGAGGACCACGGCGGGTAGCCAATCAAATTCCACATGAAATCCTGCAAGACACTGAGTTGCAGGAGGCCATCAAAGCCCTGCCTGCAAATTACAACTTTGAGATCCACAAGACGATTTGGAGAGTGAGACAAGCAAAATCTACAAGGGGTGAGCTTGTGATTTCCATACACATGATTGAATTTAAGGGGAACATGCAAGATGTTTGATGGAAAAGGGAATTGTAGAATGAGATTTATTGCAGTAGTGAAAGTGTCTGGGTGGTCTCGCTTAATAAGAAAATGCCCTAATGCTCGTGAGTGAAGTCTAACCACTGCATACATTGCAAAACTGATTTTTGAAATGAGTTGCATAAGCTGAATTGGAGCGGAAGTTACTTGGATGTGGAATACTTAATGTTTGCAGTAAAAAGCCCTTACATAGCCTGTATATAAGGATAATAATAACCCTAATTTATAGGCATTCTATCTAGCAGAGATGGAGCACAAAGGCTTTTTGAAATGATATCTCTGTACCCAAACCGGAGCCTTACAACCAATGTGCCACCCAACCACCAGTCATCTTGATTCAAACATCTGTACTTTATGCCCATTAACGTCAGTGTTACCACAATACAAAGTTTGTAGCGGATGCAGGTACAGCACTGAATTGTTACTCCCACCTCAGTTACTGCTGCTTTTAGTTACACTGTTAATGAATGAGCACAATGAGAAGATGTGGCATCGAGCGTCTTATACAAAAACAGCTGTGCAAGCATTATTTCCAAATGCCATCCGTCAGTGAATCTGGGGTTTCACCTACTTTTGCCGACTTTATTGTGCAATCTGTAACGTGCAAGGTTTATCCAGTGCACTTACTAATCAAAAACAAAACTACTTTCCAAAACACCATGTAGGTCATCCAACAGTGACTCTGCCATTTAAATCTTACATCACCGCACAACAAGTATTCAACAGTGCACGTCAGAAAGGGAAATTGTTACGTTTAAGTCATAATGTTTGTGGTGAAGTGATTCGGTGGCGTGTTCTCTCTTAATGGACCAGCATGGATTGGTGTCCAAGGGAAGCAGAATTATTTTTTAGAGGCAATTCCATGACCAGTGTGTTTTGGAGTTGGTTAACAGTTAACTCACAGAGTTTGTGAGGGGGAGTCTGTTTCCCTGATTATGTTATTGACAGAGTTGGAACTCTTTGCTCTCACTGCAGCTGAACGTGATCAAACTCAGATGTCTTCTCATCATCCATGCAACACAGATGTTTGTTGCAGTGTGAACAAATACAATACATCAAAATGTATTTGGATACAGAATAAGCCTCAAATAAATTAATTCAAATCAAATACAAAATACTGGTGGCCCGGAAATGTAACAAAACAACTTTATCAAGTTTCTGGTCAAAAACTACACTACGAAATATCATTTGATATAATTAATTTAATATCGCTAATTATGTGAGGGGAGCTGGAGAGAAAAGAATCGTCCTCCACTAATGTAAATGTCAAAATGTATAGTCCTTCAGTCCTTCAGTCTCCTTGGGTGAAAATATGCAAACCAAGAGGATTGAATAATTAAAAAAACTTCCTAGCGGGGAGCCTGTGGTTTTACCGCAGAGCTTGCTGGCTCTGCTTTATTTGTTGCGTGACCTTTTTTTCATATCAGCGCTCACCCTCTCTCTCTCTCTCTCTCTGAACCCAGAGAGCATAACTCACCTATCACCCCGTTGTCTCTCAGTTTCTCTTTGTGTCCATCTGTTTCTTTGTCTTTGAACTCCTCTCGAGTGTCACACACTGGGCTTTTGAAATAAAGGACTGCGGAAGATACAGCACAAAACATTTTATTGTCTCCAGAGTTCACAAATAGTCTCCAGCTTTGTGTTGTTTTGCCAAACTTTGTCATTTTAATTTGTGTGTTTCTTCAACATAATCTGTTGCAGCCATTCTGGAGTGAGCCGTCTTGATAAACGTTGCGCATTCGGTTAAAATAAAGACAACGTAAATGGAATTAGGAACCAGCTGGCTGGACTGTTATGTTTTGTTGATAGAAAAGCTGTTTGAGTGACGATTGGAAAACAAATTCCGACCAGCAAACAAGAAAATTGGAGGTTCTTCACGTTTGCACGTTTGGACCAGGATATATTTTAGTTATAGCTAACCTTTTTTGGAACAGATGAAATGTTCGGTTGAAACAATTCGATTTGCACTCTCCAGTGCTGGTGTTCATTTCATCTAAAGACATGTGTTTCCAGGTCATCACATTTTCCATTTGAGTTTAGTTCATAGTAATTTAACTGTAAAGTTGCATTTTATTGATTTAATTAAGGATAAAAACAAAAGCATGGCTCGAATTAAAAAAAAAAACATTTTATTTTGGCAGATACTTTTATTAAAGTGTAATAATGACATAATACATTTTTCCCCTTTCCACAAAAACACACAAAATAAACAAGATGTTTACTTCACTTTGCTTAAATGTGTTTGAAAAGTATCTCCAACATATATACCAGGCCAGTGGTTTGATCAGTCAGCTCATAGAAATTACCATATGTTCTTCCTCCCGGTAATAATCTTTGACCCTCTTTAGTTTGAAATAATGATGTTCTCAACTAGTAAATCTTACTTGGAAAACATCTAGATGAAGCCAAATAAGCAAAAAGCGTTGCGTCCTTGAGTGTCTAAGGGGACCTTGAATCTATGAAAGTGTTCCCCTGCAGGGATTCTGCAAGGCCTGGGGGATTGTTCTCTTTTCCAAGGTCTTCACGCAACTTAACTACAGACAATCAAAAGACAAGCACAGTTGACAACTTTTTTCAGATGTTTGCTTGAGCTTCAAGGCAACAAGCAACATGTGGAGCATTTAGTTAGTTAGTTCATGTTGCAGTAGCCTTGATGAGAGGCTGATAGCAATATTCATATTTCCATGACAAAATATTTAGTATCTCAAATCCAAATGAGATCTTGCGGATTGCATCGATGTCAATGTGAGTTACTCATCCAGCGAGGCGGCAGATGGCCCACTGAACAGTCCATCATGTGACTGGTGAGCATTACATAATAGTCTCTATGTGCGTCCCACAATATCGTAACTACTGTTTACATTCATCCCTTACTACAAAATGACTCCCCAGTGAGAAGTCCAAAATGACCTATTCTCCTTTGTCTGAACCGCGTGTTCCTTTCATGTTACGTTACAGCAGAATATGACCACTAGTGTCTACACATGCTGAAGAGCGTCTCATTGACAGGAGATTGTTCTACACAATAACTCACCCTAACGCAATTGTCTATATTATATTGTCTGTATGTAAACACAAACTCTAAAGACTGTCCAAGTATGGAAGACAATAATCTAATTCCCTATTTCATTATCTCTCCTTGTTCTAGTATTGGCTGTTTTGAAGTTCCATAAAATACGTGACACAGAGGGCTGAGATGCAATTCGTTCTGCATACACACCTTCAAGTCAATACAAGTTATTTCAAGGCACCTTTTTGTAAATTGCGCAGGTTTGGACTGTAACTTTAATAATATTATTTGCAGAGACCCGAGAAAGAGACAGATGATATCTACTACAGGATAAACTCTATATATATCCCTTTTCCAATCTTCTTTGTCGTATCTCCCTTTTTGAAAATTCAGAGTAATCCCTTGGCTTGGTCCGTTCGCTCTGCCGTTCACTGATAGATTGGTCTTTCCTGCACTTACTTAGTTTACCTCCTGCCTTTGATATTTAACGTAATCCCCCATGTAGCTTTCCTGCAACCTATACTATTGACAGTTCATGTGAACAAAAAATATCTTTTTGTCAGTAAACATTGAGAAAACTGCACGTATGTACATGTAGTGTTCTTCATTAAGTAACGTGTCCCAGACAACAAAGCTCTCTCCTAAATAAACATGTGACACCTGAAGCCGTCGAGTGTATTGTCCCGTTTCACGTCCGTGTGGTTTAGTTTCTCTGTTTTTATCGGGGCGGCAGTGGCACTTCCGAAAGCAGTTCACATTCTAGCTCGAAAACTCGGACATGCATTCAAACAGCGAGTCCCATCTCATCTTCAGATGGGGAGAAAGCTCTTTGCCTCTGTCGGCTGTGGCAGAGGTGGGCTCTGAAACCTTTCTCTGTTAATAAACTTGCCCTTTCTCTATGTAATGACCTGTTGCCCGCTGTGATCCCATAACCTTTTACCAGCAAGGAGTGCGTTCGCTCCTCATCTATCACTCCATCTCGCGGCCATCCATCCTAAACCTCCTTGGCCTTTAGTCTGTCTCAGCTTTTTTTCTTTTTTTGATCAATGCCGTCCGGCCTCAAAGTGTTAACGTTGTTTCAGGCCCAGTCGTGTGAAAACGCTGCGCTGAATTAAGTGTCTCTGAGCTGTGAGAATCCACTGAGACGTTGACAGATGCATTGAAGTAAGGTGCCGCAGAGTTGGACTGTGAGAAAATGTCATGGTTGATAGAAACAAAGCCTTTGTTATGGTTGCTCACTCAGTGTGTCTGACATGGTAGCTGGGACCACATACTGGTACAATATGAACGAATGTATCAAATCAATCAACATGGAACGTCAATTATTGCTTCACAAAGGGTTAACAGCAAAAAATGCAGTGTTGACAGGAATGATAACATAAACATTGTAAAAGGAATTCCATAAAGCAGACAACTGAACAGCAAAACCCCCAAAATGTTGTACAATTGGAAACAAAATCACATTATAGTAACAATCAGCTAAATGTTGCTTCTGATTGTTACAAACTACGATCTGCCATCAATCCAACATCATTTTGTGTATTTAACAACATTATTTATTATCTCTGATTGAAGGCAAGCGGCTCCTTTTAAACACATAATATGTTAAATGTATGTGAATCCCTTGTTTCCGTTAAAAACAAAATCATTTTTGTGTTTTTAATCTTTGCTGAAAGACTCCTTTATGTCTCTGGAGTTTTTAAAATAATCAGATATTGTGTGCCTTTTCACTCATTATTCATCATTTTCTTTCTCAGAGGCAAAATTGAATCTAATTTTGGGAGCTAAAATTAGTATTATTCATACAGCAGCAATGCCCCCACATTTTATGTCCCTACCGTTCATACAGAACAGCGTGGTGGAATAACAGTGCAGCTTTCTTTATTATAACGGGCTGTGCAAAATGGGCTTCAGTGACACAACTTACATTTGCAGGAAAGTCATTTTAATTGCTTTAAGAGAAATTGTAAGTCATATTATGAGGCCTCTGATTTTGTTATCTGTCAAACTATTTAAAATGAGTATTGGCCAATAATGAACAGTGGCCGATAAATCAAAGCACTCTTAATTAGTTCCACAATAAATACATTCCTTTGTCTTCCATGAAGTACTTATCCCGGTATTTACATCCAGCTCTCTCACATAATCTCCCCAGTCACTTCTGGCGTATTTCTTTCTTTAAAGGAATATGCACAAAGCAAAGGGTTGCACTTCTCTGATTGGTGACAAGGTGCAGTTGGGATGCTTCCAGGCCCTTCAGCCAGAATCTGCACCGAGCCACTTAGCATATCCTGCTCTTTTTTTCTCCTCTGGTTCATCTCGGTTGGTGTCACACATGAGTAGATTTAATGGTTTCATGTTGTCAGCACTCAACACCATCAGCGGGACCAATGTTTAATTGGTTGCTTGATTTCAGTTTTCTAGCAGCCCCATCCGCTATACCACATTAAAATCTGGCGTGTGTGCAGTAGAGGGGGACGGGGGGACGGGAGAACGGGGTGGTCTAAAGAGAGAGACTGTGTGACCCAGACCCAGCGGCAGGCATAGAGACAGACATGAAAAATCGAGTTTAAATGTTCTGTACGAGCCATGAGACCCGTGGTTATTGGTTTGCAATACGTTTCCAACCCCCCCCCCACCAAAAAAAAGACCAACACTGTGGAAAAGAAGAAATCAACTTGAAATGTCACAATTTTCTTTCAGTGAAGAACTTTGAACCAGTGAGAGAGGATATGAATAACGGCTGTCCAGGGTTGATTAAATAACATGTTAACACGTTATGGTAACTCTGTTTGCCTTTTCCTCCGCTCTCTCCAGTGGCTCTGCAGCTTCCAGAGGGCCTCCAGATGTTTGCCTGTGTCATCGCTGACATTATTGAAAGGTAAAGTGATTATTTTAATTGCTTAACTTATTTTCCAGTCCATGTGGGTCGGGAGCAGGCGTAGAAGTCAAGCCGGCAGAGAAGGAACGTTAACAGCCGCAGTCACTTGGTACTCATTAGGAGTGCGTGAGCTTTATCGTAATTCCCCGCATTCGACCCGATTCAGCAGAAAATGAGCCATGATTACGCTGTCTTAGGGCGGATATCACAGAATCCTCTGCTTACAGTGGGAGGAGGGGAAACATACCGTTCTTGTTAATTACATCTTGTTTCAGTCCGCATTTGCCCTATTGCACGCACACCGAAAAGTTATTTTTAAAGTGCTTTAGCGTTAATGTGCTCATGATATCCTGTGATCAATAACATGTATGCTTGTTTAATAGTAATGTACTTAAAAAAAACACTTTCATATGAGTAAATCAGTAGTCTCTGAAGTCTCATTGCACATTAACTTTGCCTCAGTCTTTCAGGAGCAGTGTTTGCTAAGTGTTTTCTCATAATTTGCTGTGATTAAACACCCGCAGTTGTATCTGTTCATAGGTGTTTAGTCGATACTAACCGGATTACATGATGGACATGATGAAGAATGAAGCTGCTGTAAACTTTCTGGTTGGGCGAATATTTGATTTCACACAGGAAACTTTGATCACTTCGGTCCAACTGTATTATTGTTCTCTTTGTATCTACGTGGCTTGACTTAGCAAGGCAGAGATACATTTATTCACCATATATGCTACCAGTCAAACGTCGTTTACAGTACCAGTACTGTAAATAAAACTAATTACTCATCACTATTTACAGAGGTGTTGTGTAAAGTGGTAGTCTTTCTCCGTGTCTTCAACTATTTTATCCGTCTTGTCTTTTTACTCAATTTTTATTTCTCTTCTCCAGCAGGATCAGACATCTATTACTTTATCGACTACATTCATTTGTATTTTTTCTTTTCTTTTCCTGCGAGGAGTGTAATCGAGTGAATGAGAATGATAGATGATAGTGATGACTGAAGCCGTTAGCTAACGCTTGTATTAAAATGGCCCAAACCACATCCATGATGCAACATACCTGACGCAGCAATAATTCAACTCAAACCTAATCAATCATGCACGCCATGAAACTTCACTTACACTTGAAGCGGGAGCGCCGTGACTACCAGACGACAATGTTTGCTGACCTCTGACCCGTCACTTCGCCTCCGCAAATTGCACAACTGTAACGCCGGCAGCCTCGTGGGAGGGGGGAGAGCTGCACTCATGTCATTGGTTAAAAATGAGGGCGACATCTGATTGGCAACAGATTGGTCCATCTTGAAAAAAAAAGACAATTCATGAATCAAGCCACGTCCGGGGAGTTTAAATAAACCCACAAATGAGAAGCGATTTGCAAACAACTGCAGTGCGATGAACAAACCAACATAAAAATCCACAAACAAATAGAAAAATCCACACACAAATAGACACAAATGCAGAAATATATTTGTAATTTATTCATTTGTAATTTGAATACACTTGTGAATTGTTCTGTGCGCATTTGTATTTTTTTGTGTACATTTGCAATTATTGAGATTGATCTGACCCCATACTGAAGGGCTGTTGTTAAACTTTAAGACACGTCAGCAGTGACAACACCGCCTGGCTTATTTTTGTCAGATTTGACAAATTGCGAGCTTTATGTGTTCTTTAAACCCTCTCCTCCACGCCGACAGCATGTCTATACATGTGTTTGTGGCTGGGCTTTTCTAATTCCAACCTGTTATAGCACCGGCTAAAAATGAAAGGCTACTAATCAGAGGAGAGATGACAGATTTGTTGCCATTTGAGTTTAAGGAATGTTTTATGAACCTCAGTGTCAATCACTTGTGCTCACAAATACATTTTTCCTTTCTCTCTAATTGTCATGCTCATATGCAGTGAAGCGGCTGGCTGTCATTAAAGTCGCTCTGCAAAAATAGCCAGTTGAAAAGGATTAGTTTGGATTTTCTTTCAGCAGATCGGTCAATTTCTTATTTTTAACAATACCTTAACTGTTAATATCTAATATTTAGTTACTCATGGGAATGTCAACCAAAACTATGAAGATAGGATCAATGTTCAAATAAACATGGTTTGCGTCGTCTTTCTTTTGACCACTAGAGACATAACAAAGGTAGACGCATTGGAACAGGCTGCCCCATGAATCTGTTTACACACCTCAGAAAACCCATCACAGGGTCTTTGCAAAAGTCTACACCCATATGTTTGTAAGCTGCAGGATAGAGCTAATCTGACGGCCACAAGAATGACACCTTAAAGTAGACAGTCACAACAAGGTAAAGAGATTATCGGAGCAAACCGTGAATAAGGTCAACACCATCTGGTGGCTCATTACTGTATGGTTTTTGATCCACATGTGGGGAGGACATTGCAATATCTGTAAGGAGAATTTAAAGGTTTCAAGTCTACAATCTCAACTCAAGAGCTGAGAATTAGCTTGATTCCTTCCCAGGTTTAACCTGCAGGTGAATCACATCTGCCTGTGTGGTGTTTTAATCTTCACCCCAGATTAAACTGCTGGTGGGAGCGAGGACCCTGATGTTGTGCCCAGAACTGAGTCTATTGCATTGATTGAAATGCAGCAAATGGGCATGCCAATCCTAATATGGATCTAGGACCGAAGGGTGGAATTTGGGGAGAGTGAGTGACCGTAACCTTTGGATGTTGGCGCAGCAGACAACTAACCTCAAATCACTGAGCTTATGTTGAGGGTTAACCAGAGGGCCCACGAGGTGGGCGGCTCTGCCATCATCATCACTGCCACAGTCAATCATACTCGGGTGACAGGGCCGAGGTCCATATCAAAATGGGGATGAAAGGGCTAAGCTGCCCTCAGAGTAAGGCGCTTCAGTGAGAGGGACTACTAAGTCCTAATGAGGAAAAGCTGCTCTGAATTATGGACCGTGCTGCATGTTAATACAAAACATACACCCTGTACACTCATGGAAACACACTTTTCTGACTTTAAATAAACAAAATAAGGTGATATAAAATAAGTTGGAAAAATTTCTCTCACCAGCTTTTCCAATTGGTATTATTGTTGTCACTGCTGTAAAAAATGCCATCAACACAGTTGACTGTCTTACTAATTGACTTCTAAGAAAAACTCTTTTTGTGACAAGTGACTACATTTCTTTGGTTTTTAGCCATCACCTGAGATCAATGGACAATGGCGCACCAAAGGACCTCACACTATAAGCAAGCTTTTATAGTAAGAAGGCCTGTACTGTCCACTGGGAATGGTGCAGAGGCTAGCTCTGCTTACATTTCAGAATTATTCTTTAATTTGAGTTTGAATTAGTAAATTCTATTTAAACAGTCCTCTGACTGCCCAGCTGTCAAAATCCAGCAAGAATGAGAAACGCTTCTTTGCCCTCATTGTCACCATGCACTTAAAGCAATTAAGCCTTCGAGAGGTAGCGAGCGATTTGCCAACCTATTTGCCCTGTAAAACACATTATTCATGAATGGTCATTGTAAATGTCGGGATCAGTAGTTTGAGTCTTTCGGTCAAACAGTTTTTGTAGAACTTTACTTATCACAGATCTTTTCAAGGAAACTATTGCCTATTATAGGGTTAAAGCATAGCTAATATTGCAAATTTAAATTATTCTTTCATGCTTTCATTATTTTGAACAGCATGCTAATTCATTTTAAGTGAAAAGCAAGATGATTTATATGTAGGAAATTGCGTTTCTCTAGCTTGTGTTTTTTTCAACCAAGCCTTCATCTTCCCCTTGAATCCATCACAAATTACACCTATCTGTATCTACGTATGCTAAAATTAATAAAAGCAGGGCTTGGTGTAGGTGTTTTATTTAATTAGAGCAGCGGTTCCCAAACTCAAGAATGCCGCACCTAATTTGAAATCTGAATCTTTTGCGGCCCACCCAAACCTTTAATTACAACTCTGATCAAAATATAATGATTAAATGACCTTAAGAATTTAACCAAAATCAAACATCCGCGAGCAAAAGTCCGTCTGGCGCGAGCAAAAGTTTGTCTCCGCGAGGTATTTCCTCGCTTGCGAAACGTGAACTCGCGAGCTTAGTCTCTGCTGGATCAACCGATTAACCAATTGATCCATATACAAGGCGCTCCGGATTATAAGGCGTACTGTCGTTTTTTGAGAAAATTAAAGGCTTTTAAGTGCGCCTTGGAGTGCGGAAAATGCGGTATATTTACTTTATTACTACAAGAGGGCGCCCCATTTGACATTGTTTGGTTTGGCGGCCCTGTTTGTTGAACAACGACAGGTGGACAAGAGCAGCCGTTTCAAGCGAGAGCCTTATTGTTTTATTAATCTGTTTATTTAAATTGTTTGTGCTTCATCATTAAATGTTTCACATAACTAATGTGCTGCATCATAAATATTTTTATATTAATTTCAAACTTTTCAAAATTGAAAATTAAAAACTTTATTTATTTATTGTAAATGACCTCTCGCGGCCCACCTGCAGTACCTTCGCGGCCCACCAGGGCTCACACTTTGGGAATCGCTGAATTAGAGGAAATAAATAGAACTCCATACTCACTAACCTAATGATGTTTTGCCCATAATTCTTTGTTGTAATGAAGGTCAAATAAACCTAAGCATCAAATGAGGGCCAATTTGATAGTTTATAGTAGTTTGGACTGTACACATAACCCCACTGATGATGTCACAATATGTAAAGCCGCATTTGATTTATTTTACTTTCAAATTTTTTTCAAATCAACCAAAAAACAAAAAATGTCACACATTTTCCCTACTGAAGAAGAATCATTTTGCTATATATTCTTGATTGAAAGAGATAATATCTATGATTGAAGAGCAATATAGCTATATTATTTATTTATAATGTATACCAAGGACTTTGTATATAGAAGTATTAATAGAGAATGTAATGGAGTTCAATTTACCTTGATGCAGGACAAGAGGCACAGGCAAGCTTTGACAATGACACGGTGGGGAGCCACCGGCTCTCTTGG